CTCTGTAATCCCAAATTCATTTCAGCTCTAATTTAAAAAAAAAAAAAAATTCCCCCTCTCCCCCCTCGTCCCCTCAGCCCACCACGCCGAGAAAAAAAATCCCTTGAATTATCATTTAATTACATTTTCAGTTTCAGGTTGGTTTTTTAATTTTAATTTTTTCTTTATATTTAGACGTTTTGTATTAGATCTATGTATAAGTAAACCATCTTAAATGAATGAAAGCAGGCTACAAGTAAGAAAGAAATATTACTATTGTAAATCTGTATCAGTCCTCACAAGCCGATGATGAAAACTTTAATACTAAAGCGAACACACAACTGACGCTATAAATTACGTGTCTGAGGCAAAAAAAAAGAAAAAAAAAAAATTAACTAAATTTAATTACACATTTGCATTGTCAGGTTTAAAATAAAATAATAATTTTATAATTAGACTTGTGTTTGAATTGTGTATAAATAACTCTTCTTAGATGAATGAAAGCACATGTCAGAGAAGTTTGTTATTGTAAATATGTGTAAGCCGTCATAAGCTGATGATGAAAACTGAAAATTACTCCTTAGGCAAACACATTTGATGAATCTGTTTTTTAAAGTATAATAATACAATTACAAGGTAAATCAACAACACATAGCTGATTGCGTTGTTAACGTATGATAGATACATAGAAATAAAACTAAAAATTGCCTCAGTAAGAAATTACGAAATTACAGATTTTACAAAAAAAAATAATTATGTATTGTGTACGTAAATGAAAACAACAGACATACTTTGGAAATGGATCAAGCAGATTTGAAGACATTTTTGGCAATACTAATCTTAACAGGTTATCATAAATTGCCTACTTAGCGGGCTAATTGGAGTTTGGATGAAGATTTTGGAATGCCATAGTGTCGAATTGCATGTCATGCAACATATGCCATCAACTAGTCAAACAATTTATTATAGGAAAACCCATACGATTTGCTTATAATAATTGGGCTTTAAAAAGTTGAGATGGAAACTGCCACGCGTTTGATTTTTATTGCGGTAAGTCCGAAAAGATTTATGTTGATCCAGGGGCGCACCGGGTGACACCATTTAGGGGGGGTGACACCAAGGCAAAAAATAGCAAAATATATAGAGAAAAACTCGAGGGGGGGGGGGGGTTGCAAATCGAAAGTTTGAGGGGGGGGGATGCAAATCGAAAATTTGAAAGTTTGTCCCTGGGAAGGGTCTCTATGCCTCTGGGGGGGGGGGGGGGGGTGACACCATTAAGTGCCGCACCGGGTGACACCCGACCTCGCTACGCCACTGTGTTGATCCTCATGGTGCTAGAGCAGTTAAATATTTTCTAGAAAAGTTTTCTATTGTCCCAAAAAAAAAACAGACCATATACTTCGATAATTTTTTTTTACAAACCTTAAGTTGTTATGTGAGTTGCATTATTTGGGATACAGAGCAACTGGAACAATACGAGATAACAGAACAAAGACATCTCCACTCACAGATGTGAAGATAATGAAAAAATAGTATAGAGCTAAGTATGATTACTGATTTGACACAAAAAATGAAATTATATGTTGGAAGGATAACAATGTTGTTACTATTGGATTCAACTTTGATCTTGTAGAGCATGTGGGAAAAATAAAAATAAAAAGGTGGTGTAATGCTCAGAAGCAAAAGGTTCATTTCAATATCCCGAGACTTGTAATAAATTATAACAATGGAATGGGTGATGTCGACCTAATGAATCAATCTGTACCTGGTGTCTATAAGAGGAACAATGGCCATTGCTAATGCTTGGCGGCTGCATGTTTTGATTAGCAGGATTGATGAGCTGACATATATGGATCAGTAAGCATACAGACGAATAATTGCATAATCGTATTTACAAGAGAAAAGTACAGTCGTCCAACATCATCACTAGTTCCTACAGTGGATTAAAACAAATTATGGTCATAATCCAGAGCAAATTGAAAACCAATTGCGTTGTGTTGTTTGCCAAAGTTGGATCCGCTGGCGATGTGAAAATGCAAAAAACATTTTGTGTTAAACGACCTTGTTTTGGACAATTTCACTCCTAATCTGATCAGTGTACCCAGCTGAGTACACCCCTTTACCTTTTTGGCTATGTGAATTTCTCTGTATTTTTGTAATACATGTGCTAATCTACCCAATATGTCATAATAAATAACAATTAAATGTAATTTTTACATGCAGTTTTCTTTTGGGCTTTAATGGGTTAATCAGCTTTTGATACAATATAGTGTATATGCTTACATCTGTTGTTATAACAAAACTTGTCGTTGTTACATGAAACGGATGATTTTAGATACTGACGTCCGATAATAAAATATGTGTGTTGGGTTGTTAGTAGTATTATAATCTCGACTAATTTTATGGTTAGGGACAGGGTTAGCATTGACATTAGCCAGCAATGTGTGTATTTAGTTAACTACCAGTAACCTAACACCCCTTTTTAAAGAATATTCTATTATCGGACACTGGTATAAATATTCCGCGTGAAACAATGTTCGCCTAAACTACAACATATGCATTCGGCTATTTCTATAACTCGGACGACACGCTTTGTGTATATTTAACTTCAATCTATCAGAATATATTATTCTTATAACATCATTTAGGATTTGCTAATAAATGGATGTAGACTGGCTGATCTTCACATTTCAGCAACAGTAAAGTATAATTATATAAGTAGATCAAGACCCGATAGCAATGTAATATAAGATATTTTTTGTATAGAATTATATGTTTACTTAATTAAAAAAAAAAAAAAAAAAAAAAAAAAAAAAAAAAGAAAGCAAATAGAAAGCCGTCCGACTTTGTGGTGACGATGTAAGATATGTAACATAAACATTTACTAAATGAAAGTCTAATGTACGGTTTAACTACTAGCATATCACACGATCCTGACAACGTCTATGTGAGACCCTTGCTTTACTAGATATGATTAAATGTATCGGTGAGTATTTTCTCTCAAACAAAATAAAAATGTTTCCAATCTATGGGTGAATGCAACATCGTCAAAGAATGTCATGTTTTGCATTTTACAGAAAATTGTATGCACAGTGATCACTGTTTAATGATATATAATTATATACTTTTTAAAATTTCAAATAAGCATGCTTCTTCACAATCTCCACGGTTTTAAAAATAAAAAACAGGTTTCTTAAATTTCTTTCGAATTTTTCCTAAAACATTTTAAATTTTTTTATGACTTACTAGATAGCGATTATTATGCACGTTTGTTAACGTTGTCTCCCTTGTAGAGATTAAGTTAAAGAAATGACAACTGATTGCAAGTTTAGATTTGTATTAAAAAGTGATATTAAAAAAAAAACAAGCCCCAAAATGACTCAACAATAGACTGCCAACAAGCAGAGCAGATAAATAACAAACAGCAAATAATTTTCTTTCTAGCCAAACAAGAGAATCAGGAATAGACGTTAATGCATTTTTTTTTTAATTTTTAATTTTTTTTTAAACACAGTTTGACTAATTAAGAATAAACCATGGGTGATTAAAGAACCGTAAAAAAGGGACTAAAATTTCTCAGCTAACTGTGATTGTGAGGTATGTTTCATCAGATGATGAGCTACCTGTTACACTTTTTTTTTAACTTCCCTAGACATGGGTAGCTACACGGGGGAATGTATGGCTGAGGTTGTGTACACCTACCTTTATAATGTGGAGAAAATATGTTTTAGTGAGTGTTGGATGTTATTGCTGCCAGTGCCACTATTCTCTACATGATGGCTAATGATTTTAATACAACTCACTTTATTATCAGAATCTGACAGTCATAAACTCAAAGATCAAAACTTGTCGATTGAAAACGTGAATTAACTAACAACTGTGGTTTAAACTGTATAATGAACCATTTCGGTGCATCGATTCAGTTCAGTCAAATAAATGAAGAGACGCAACTTAATTATGTGTTTTCATTTACGTTTTATGTAATTGAAAGTCAAAGTTTGAAGTTAAAAGTTTTTGTTTTCATGTACGTGTGGTTAATTTTCTACTTTCGATAAATTACAAAATGTAAGAAAAAACAAAAACAATATATATGAAATTGTGTACACTACAAATATTGCACTCAATATTTCACTAAACGTTGGAGCTATCTTTCATGTATTATAATTCAGAAAGTCAATATTTTTTAACTAATGGCTTATCTATAAATTTAAGAAAAGATGGGAATCCGGTGCATGTTTGGTTGTTTGTTTGTCTGTCAGTGTGTCTGGTGTAGATTAAATCATGTCACTAAGTTTCAATTCGTTTAAATTTAATGAATGTCTTCAAATTTCACTGGTGCTTAATAACTGTCCGTGTCATTTAATGCAGTTTTGAAGTAAAACACAACTGCTATGTATCCGTCCGAAAAAAATGTATTTCGCATCACACTTATATGTGTCCACCCCCCCCCCCCCCCCACACACACAATAAAATAAATTACATTTGACAAAGTACAATGAAACATATCCCCTAACATCAACCTGTTCCTCCTTGTGTCTAATGTAGAAAACCTGTTATGTGTCGAGTGTAGACAACAAGCCATGTATCGATTAAAGACAACATGTTATGCATTTTAATCCCAACAAGTCACACTGGTAAACACAATTGTATTGACCATTACGACTGTCCCTTATGTTAATTGTACTTTTGTTAAAATGAACTTTTTTTTAAAAAATCAATTATAATGTATTGCAAGGGCATTTAAACAAATGATAAGTGACCAAATTATATATTTACCCAACAAGGTATCTAAACTTAAAATCATAACTATTATTTCTTTACGTATAATAAAGCAGCCTAGCTTTATTTATACTTATATACTTGCAGTTGTTATGGTTAATGAAAAAAAATCGATCTAAAACAAAACAAAGAGTTTAAAAAAAGAAGAAAAAATGATATACTGCCTCAAAAATTATTTCAGATTACCATAAGTAGTTGTTTGTACCAGGCGTTCCATCAAGCCAATATCTTTTCCAAACAACTCAAGGCGAGTCTGCATGCCGGAAATCTGTTTGCGATCCTTTAGGCTGTACCCATGTCATGTGACATTTCTGTTCTATTTCGTCAATTGATTCTCTCACTAACCCAAGCCTCACAGCTTTCATGACTAACAGCTCAACCAGATCTGTGTTAATTTTGACAGTCTGTGCAATACTATCAAATGTCCGTTGTGTATCTGTTGCTGGCCTTTGGAATGTCATCTCCATCAAACATAACAGATTGATCTTGTTCCTAGTTACAAGTTCATTGATTTTCATATCCGGCTGAGTAGACCATTTATCCTTCAGTCCTATGATGTTGTCAATATCTCCGCTGTTAAAGGCATACAGAAGATCAACCAGCCATTCTTTATATGTGCCCTTCAAGGTTGTCAAGATATCATGGGCAATGAGCTCACCAAAATTGTATACACCCTCGTCTATTACAGCTGCTAAATAAAACAATATTAAAAGCCCTCTTTGCTGCTCTGTTTTTGGCATGTCTTTCAGATCTATGCAGCTTAAGAACCTAATGGCCACTTGATCGTACTGAGTATGATTGCTCATTAGTTTATGATAGTTGCTTGTTAGTTCATAGAAGCGTCCATGTACTGTGGTCACTCCATCTATATCATTTAAAATCTTCTCTCACTCTTCCATTAGGGTCTTCACTGGAGGGAATTATTTATTCCGGAGATAGATGTTACCCATTGTAGTCATACACAAAACATTTGACTTCTTCACTGGCTTTAACTTTCTCTTTCATTTTCTCAAGAAATTCTATGGTTTGTTTTGGATCTGGTAATTGGACAACATAAACACAAAGCTGAGCCAGAGAGACAGTTAAAAAAATAAAAATAATTAATAACGCAATTTAAACTATCAACATATTGTACAGTTATACCATTACAAGTAATATTTCATATTGTATTGATTAGAGTTCTAAATCAGTAAAGATACTTTCTGGAACAAAATGTGAGTTTTTTTTTTTTTTTTTTTTTTTTTTTTTTTTTTTTTTGTTTTTTTTAATTTAAAAACTTATCTGCCAAAAACTTTGCCATTTTTAAAATTGGCAAAAATCAATGGGAGACAATGCAAAGCAAATGACTGAGCTGTCGGTTTAAGTAAATTTTAGAAATATATATTAAAAAATAAATTAGTCACAGTATGAATTATCTGACAAAGCTATTTATATGTTTTAGAAAATATAAAAAAGTAGTTGCCCTAATATGCATTAAAATATCTCATGCTACAACATTTGAAAACAGAGACTTCAATGAATACATTTTTTTAAAGACAAGCAATTTATTCAGCTGATTCGACGTTCTTTATTTTGTTCTTGTTCCAAAATAAATATAGAATCTAGTATTTTACATAAAAAAAAATAAAATAAAATAAAAAAATAAAAAATAAAAAAAAGGATTTTACATACAGAATTGAGCTTTATATATTAGATAATGGCCGCCGTAGCATGTGTATGAAAATAGTGCTCCGTATATTTCCATTTTTAATGTGTTATTTGTGACACTTTTGTGTTTTCTTTATTTCAAAATTTGGATTTTAAATGACAGTGATTGAATCGAGATACCATTGTTATCTTAATTTAGTCTGCGTGTTTTTATGTCTGCCTGTGGACTTCATTTGTAAGTAAATTTTCATACTAAATAAAAACAATTAAAACTTGTTGAGTGTATTTTGGTCCTGGTGGGGCCAAACACAAAAACAAAAACAAAGAATGGATGAAGATGGCTTATTCTTTGAAGTCTGCATACCGGGATTCAAAGTCTTCTTTCATGAACCCAATACGGTAGAAATTACAATCCTTCAAGGCCGTTGGCTGACCACAATTACAAATGTCGAGTTTCTAACTCAATTTGCCAACATAATAGGCTGCCTGGATACCGAGTTCAGAATAGTTTACAATTATGGGGAAGTAAATGTCTGGTATGCCACGCTGAGTTCAAGGAAAATTTATGAGAGTCTTATGATGACCGAATTTTACGAGCCCAAGACACTGGCCAATGAAAGTACGCAGAGGCTAATTAAAGTAAGCGTCACTCATGTCGACAAAAAGGACTGTGTTAAAGGTACACAGAGATGCGTTCCCCCTCACATTAGTAAGGCTGAACTGGAAACAGCCCTTCAGGGCCTATGTGAAGAGGGGACCATCCCAAACATCAAGACTGTGGACCGAGGGAACAACAATAAATTCATAATTAAGCCCAAAATGGACAAAGAGAAAATACCACACTTTATAAGATTTAAAGACGCTGAAGGGGCGGCACAGGTGGCAGTGATCCACCTCTCAGAGAGAAGGATGTTGTGCCCCAACTGTAAAACAGATAGGCACTACCCCACCATGTGTAACCAACTTTACGCCCGGTTCATGGACGGGATCCAAAAGAAAGACGGGAAGTATAATGTAATACAGCTTTGTGGGGGGGGGGGGGGGAACAAGAAAAGGCAGCTCAAAGACAACGACTATAAAACGACAATCGAATAGTATAACTATAGGACTATCCCAATCCACTTTACAAGCTCTTAACTTTTATTTTTCTTTCTTTATCGACATCACCTGTTCAGGATGTGTCTGTCATTAACGAAGCAGGCCTCAACACGGCAAACTCCGACTAACTGGCTTCAGTATTGGTTTAAGTACGGTGTATCGGTCGCTTCTGTCCTTCGGTTCTCACCGGGCTTATCTTCCAACCCACTGAACGCAGGGTAAACTCGTACCCCACCGTCCTGTACCCGACTCAACAGTAGGAAGCTAATAACTAAAAGACTACGTCACTATGGTCGAATTAATGATTACTGACAGATAGGGACATTCATTCTGAATAAAATAACATACTCCATTTAACGATATTGGAAAAAGTTGGCACTTGGGAAGTGGCAAGCATTGCACGGGTGTAGGGCTGGGCTTGGTGCCCAAGCGGCTGTCAGCTGTCCGAATACTCTCTACTCCCACCTATTCTCATTCGCTGATTAGAGTTTTTATTATGTTTAAAGTTCTGTTTATTTACAGTACAACATTAGTTATGGGTTTTGAAAAAAAAATAATAATTCAATAATTTTTAATATTTGTGCATGTAACTCGAGAGTCGCCACTTGAAATAAAAAGAGCCGCAGGTTGCCGACCCCTGGCTTATATAAATGTATTTTTTATATAGATCTATATTTTTTTTTTGTTAAACATATTTTCTAGTCACAGAGTAGACGTGGATGTACCGTTGATATATTTAAATATATTGCATGTTGTAAAAAAAAATGTATACATTAAAGTCACTGTTTTTCAAATTTTATTACTTAATAGATTTTTAATGCTTATTAGCGGGACTACTAATTTTCTAATATTTTTTAATCTGATTTTGTACTTGTGTTTGATAATTTGTTCTATGACTATTTTTTTTTAAATATACATTTTTAAAATATACTAAAACCAACAGCACAGTAGTTTGCTTAGCGTTGCCTCCCTTGTAATTTTTCCCATATAAAAAATGGCAAAGAACTTTGGCAGATATGTATTTAAGTTAAAAAAAAAAAAAAAAAACACATTTTGTTACAGACAGCATTTTAGTGATTTAAAACTCTAAACAATATAGTATGGAATATTACTTGTAAAACTAAAATGTATGTATAACGTTTAAATAGCGTTATTATTATTATTATTTTATATTTTTTAGCAACGCTAAAGAAGGAGCTTGTTGCAAAACACGTTTTGGTAAAACGACTTTGTACCCGGGCGCCGGGAAGGGACGCTACGACTCTGATGGGATGTTCAGATAGTGTGACGTCACTAATTTGCATTAAAAAAAGAATTTTAGCCGTTATTTCGCGTTTAAAAAAAACTGTTTTAATAAATTGTAAAAAAGATATGGGAAAAATATCGCTGTTTTAAGGAAAATTCAACAGCAATATTAAGGGGTTGGGGTTATAGGCTGATGTGTGACATCATTTTAGGGGGGGGGGGGTGGCTTTTTGTAATGATGTGTGACTAAGGGGAGGGGGGAGGTAAAAATTGTTTAAAAAACGTGACGTCATTTTTCGATGTCTTCTTATGAAGTATTCTGTGATGCTTTTGTGGGTGTTCTCTGCATGGTTTATTTTATTTGGTGGGGGAGGGGGGTGTATGGACTTTCTTGAAACCCTGCTCATATAAACCTATATTCTACCACAGTCCTTTTTATTTTTATTTTATGTATTTACTTTTAAAATTGCAACGCAAACATCAAGTATACTTGCAATGTTTCAAAGTTTTAAAAAAGAAGAGAATAAAAACGAATTGACTACTCAAAGGAAGATTTTTCTCCCCAACGTCTCCACTTAGTCGGCAAAAGATAGCTCTGTGCATGCGCAGTAACCTATGGCTATGGTTAGGGCTAGAATGAGGGTTAGGGGTAGGCTTTGGGTTAGGGTTAAGGGTAGGATTAGGGTTAGGGATAAGGTTAGGGTTAGGGCTAGGGCTAGGGCTAGGGCTAGGGCTAGGGTTAGGGTTAGGGTTAGGGATAGGATTAGGGATAGGGTTAGGGATAGGATTAGGGAAATGATTAGGGATAGGGTTAGGATTTGGGTTGGTGTTAGGGTTCTGCGGTTGTAAACACACGCGTGCGCAGTACCATCGAAAACATCGCCGCGAAGGCAAGTCGTAGTTTCTCTCCATTGCGCATGCGTATCTTATTCCGGCTAGAATCGGCCTAAGAAAAAAGTAAGAAAGAGTGTAATTGATAATGTAGTACACATCGAGAACAAGTACTGTATGTAGAATATGTGTGACGCAAAATATTTAGTAACAAATGTCAAAGATCTAAACTCTAGACTGTAAAAGTTAAAAGTCAGTAACCTGAAGTGTTTGCTTTTAATGAATTAGGAGAGTGAAACTATAATGGCTCTGCATGCATTTCTCATGCATAAAAAAAAAGTGACTACATTACGTTAAACAAAAAACAAAAAAAAGATAAAAAAAAAAATAAAAAAATAAAGAAAAGGTTAAATGTTAGGATTTATTTGCGACTAAGTATAGAGCCCGACACGATTATCCTAATAAAACATGTACATGATTTCCTCCATTTATGGCGTGCGCAACTGCATTTTCTTCTTATCAACAACTCAACCATGGAAAAATAATTAAAATAACCTATAATTGTTTAGCCGTTGATTATAGCTAACGTCTGATATAAACATATCTGAGTGAATGTTCAATAACCTATCCTACCAGCCCTGATATAAAACTATCCTACCAGCCCTGATATAAAACTATCCTACCAGCCCTGATATAAAACTATCCTACCTGCCCTGATATAAACCTATCCTACCAGCCCTGATATAAAACTGTCCTTCCATCTATGATATAAACCTATCCTACCAGCCCTGAAATAAAACTATCCCACCAGCCCTGATATAAAACTATCCTACCAGCCCTGATATAAAACTATCCTACCAGCCCTGATATAAAACTATCCTACCAACCCTGATATAAAACTATCCTACTAGCCCTGAAATAAAACTATCCCACCAGCCCTGATATAAAACTATCCTACCAGCCCTGATATAAAACTATCCTACCT